GCTGAAGGGGGGCGCTGTGTGAGTGTGTGTGCGCGTGCGTGTGCGCGCGCGAAAAAAGCGCGTGCGCGGAGGCGCGCGCTGGCGGCGGGGGCGGGGGCCCGGGTGCTCCCGTGGGAAGGGAGGGGTGAGAGGTCGCCGGTCCCCGGCAACACGGCTCAGGCAAACGTAAGTGGCTTGTAGCAGAAACCAAGGGGTCCACGAAACGCGCTAGGCTGGAAGGCGGGAAGGAGCGATTAGTGACAGCCTTGCCAGCCAATAAAATGGAAATGTGAGAAAGGTTCTTTAGGCCCCTTTCCAATCAGGAAACTTAAGTGATGAGAGAGGGAGCGAGGGGGTGGGGTGTGATCTTGGTCCGGCTGGGACTGGAGCGGCGACAATTTTGGCTAGTCTAAGAAGGGCATTCGAGTGACCGTTGACAACGGGTGGGACAGCGTCAGGGCTGGGGGAAGAACCAGAACTTTACGCTTCCAGGACTCCTAGCTAGGTGCATTAGTTTTTAAGAGTAGGTAAAAGACCTTAATTAGTTCGCATTTCACCAATGGGCACTTTTCTACGGGGCGATTTCATCAGAGGAGGATTTGTTAATCGTGCTGTGTGACACCGTTAAGGGACTTACAGTGTCGTCACTCGCCGCCTTAAATCCTTTCGGGAACAAGCCAGGTTATAAATAAATAGAACTAGGTGTGGGTCTCCCCTTCACAAGGCGCTGGGCAGTCAGGCTAAAGACAGGCAACAGCTGAGTGTGTATACCAAACTAAATATTGAACGAGATATGAATGTTGAATTAAAATTCACTGCAATGTGCACAGTTTGTGATTATACAGATCTTGTATGTATCATGAACCTGAACCTCAACCCTGCACTAGAAAAAATATTGTAGCTGGAATAGGACCTTAGAGATTATCTAAATCAAGTCCCTCATTTTACAGATGAGTAAACTGACTCACTGAAGTATTTTGCTTAAGGTCATCCATCAAGTTAGTAGTTTAATTAACTCAGTGTGCTAGGAAGCAGGGGTAGTGGAAAAGTATAGGTTTCGGAGTCCTAAATCTTGGTTTCACGTCCTTGCAGGCTGTTCTAAAAGTATGTCTTGGGCAAATGCCTTAACGTGTTGTCATTTGTTAAGAGCTTCCCATGTGGGAAGCACTTATATGCTATGTTCATTGCATGCACTGTTCCGTGTAGTTACTACTATCCCTATTTTATGAGGCAGTTTAAGTTTAAAGATATTAGTAATTTACCTAAAGTCATTGTAGTAATAATTCAAACTCAGTACTTCTTGGCTCCAAAGTCTGCCTGCTTGAATATTGCAATAAACTAGAGTGTCAGGTTTTGTCCCAGTTAAGACAGGGATTGCAACTCCAACGTCCACAATTCTTAGGAGTCAAATGAAGTAATATATGTGGCAGTGTGTTCCAAACTGTAAAAAGGTATAAACACATTCACCATTTTTTAGAATATACTCCTTCCTTATACATTCCATTACAGGACTTCAACCTGAAAGATCGCTTTCATACTAAGCTAGCAAAGGAACGGACTTCACTGTAATTATGAGAGCATGGTATTCTAATGAAAAATAAATGCATATCTAAGGCAATAACCAGAGAATAGAATAAGATTTAATTTCTGATAGACAGGAACGGACTTCACTGTAATTATGAGAGCATGGTATTCTAATGAAAAATAAATGCATATCTGAGGCAATAACCAGAGAATAGAATAAGATTTAATTTCTGATAGATTGAAAAAGGAATACAAAAGAATACTAACCCTACTCATAGCATTCTTTATTGGAAGAGGCATCTATGAGGAAGTGGGATTTCTGGTGCTTTTTAAGCAATGAAAGATAGATGACAGTTTACTGAACGAAGAAGAGAATAACGTTGAGTTTGGGACTAAAGTTCATCTGCGGTATGAAAAACACATTTACCACAGTCATGGAAGAAGATATGCTGAAAGCTGGAAGAAAGGGAAAGCAGGTAAGTTAGTGCATATTGGTAAAGATCTATGAACCAAAATCTAGAATTTTGATCTGATGTATAATGTAATAGGAAACCACGATATTGCCTTTATGATCAAAATAAAGAGGATTTATACACAGAGTAGAGCAACAAATTGAACTATGATGAGGAATAAATAGGGTTTGGAATAAGTATGTGGTAGTCAAGATAGTAAAAGTCTGGTGCCAGACATGATGCAATCAAAATGCTCTGTGAAGTGTACAAAAATATGTTATGATGTTTTTAAAGGAAAAATTAGAAAAGGTGGGTATTTGGCACCAGGCAGTTTTGAAACAGTACAAGAGGGGACAAACATAATTGAAAGACAAAGATAGTTCAAAGATATATTACATTAAAACTTGGGCAAAGTATTCAGTAGAATGTAATATTGAATTGGAAAACCTGACTTGAAGAAATTTATAAAAATAAAATATTTCTTAAATAGTTTAGAAAATATTTGTCATTAACATGTGTAATAAGTTAAATTGAAAATGAGCCTGCTAAGTTCAATTGCTTTATAGGTACATGCTTATTGAAGTAGAGTCACACTGTATTCTTATGGTATTTTTTGACCCTTTCTTATTTCTTTCTGCTGACTTAATATTTAAACACTACCTACCACTTCATGGAGCCCCAAAGCAAAAAATATGGTTTTTAATGTGAACAGAATGTTTAATAGTAACCTAGCTATGATACGCCAGGAATAACAGAGACTATTCCAAGACCTGGTCAGACATCTATGGATCAGTCAGCTACAAATTGATTCAATCAATGAAGGTTATCAGATAGTATATTCTAATTAATCTTCTATTCTTTTGTATATTTTGTTTTTGTAAATTATACTTCTGCATTATTTTTTTTGCATATACCTCTACAATTCTGATTAGACATAAAATAAACATTTCACGTATTATTTTCTGCATTTTGTACCAGCTAAAAAAATTAAAGGAAAAGTATAGCAGCTCCCAGTTTATTAATATTAAGTATGATATTTCTCTACAGAGAAATAAAATTTTATTTTTTAATTAACCAAGCAATTGAGCACTGCTAATTTAATATTTTTTAGCACCTTAAAACATAATAGAACTTGTGTGCTTTTCATTGCTAATTAGTTGAATTATGAACCAAGCAACTATGATAGAAAATGATATTAATATAAAGAACAAAATCCCCAGTCTTTAATTGGCCTTAGGGTTCTTTTCCTTTTGTTTTAGACTAACATGGACATCTGTAATTTATTTTCAATAATAATAGGTTGGCTTTCAAAAGAAAGCACAGATAGTTGATATTCACAGATATTCCTAAACCCATTTGTTTCCATGCTCCTGCCTTTCCTACAGTCAACCTTGTTATTAAGAAACATAAATGCTCTCTACCTGAATGTCTCTTCAGCCGATGCTTTGGTAAAATATTTTCTGAATTTAAGTCCCACCAGAAGCAGACCCTGAGTTAAAGATTCAAGTGCAAGCAGTCTATTTTGGTTTCGTTTTTGCTTTTGTTTTTGTTTTCTATTTCAGGAAACAGTAGGAACATGAGAAAATGAGACAGGAAAGAGAAGGAAGGCAAGAAAAGGTGAATTGACAAGCAAATTATCACTAAAAGTAAACAGAGCTTGATGTCACTGGGATTTCCTAGGAACCAGTTAAAACATTAGCCTCAGAAGTATGAGAAAGCTTTTCATATATATATATATATGTATGTATGTATGTATATGTATATGTATGTATATGTATATATGTATGTATATGTATGTATGTGTATATATATGTATGTATATATGTATGTATGTATACAGAAGTATGAGAAAGCTTTTCATATATATATATATATGTATGTATGTATGTATATGTATATATGTATGTATATGTATGTATGTGTATATATATGTATGTATATATGTATGTATGTATATATATATATATATATGTATGTATATATGTATATATCTATGTATATCAACTCCCTTCAGCCATTTGTTGATCTCTATTTCTAGGGGCATTAATTCAATACATGCTAGCCAGTCTTCCAAATGCCAGCACCTCATCTTTTTCTGAGGACTTTCTCCTTCGGCTGGAGTCCGATCTGCCCTTATGCAGGCTGGAAATGCTAGGAAATTAACATCCCGTGGTAGAACAACACCCACC